GTTATTAATGTCTTATCGACGTCTCTAACCTATCTTTAGGTCATATGGCACCTACTGCTGCATTCTAATATGATGGGAATGTCAAATTCAAATTTGTCCGGATTTAAGTGGCGGACCCTGTATATATATATATATCCCCCAAAATAAGGAAAACTTATCTTGAATAACAATATACGCATACTTTACACAGTAAAGAAATTTTAACATTTATTAAATGTGTATTCTATTTTTTTTCCACATAATCGAGAATAAAATTTTTTGCAAACATCATGCTCGCGGCTAAACAAAACTACGATTNCAATAAAATTACAGAACTGAGAAAAATACTATTATTTCGACAATGTAACGAATCTTAAATATGTAGAACAAATAAATTACGGCCATACTTGTTACGCATGAACATGTTTTCCCGATTGACGTCAAACAAAAAACATCTCGGCAGTCTAAATGCATTTTTACATATCACGTATTAAAATTTACCATTAAAGTTGTTGAAGCTTATTATTAAACCTTACGCAAAGATTTATCACCATTAAGACGTTACCACGCAACATCACATTTAGTTGCAGAATTACTAACTTTTGAACTAAAAAGATAAAGAAAAACAGTTTGCGCCATAATTTTTAGCGCAACAAACTGCAAAATACCAGCCTAATTCGAACTTTCTAACTTTAGTTATTAACAATCAATTGTTTAAATAATAGAAATTATCAAACTTTTATTGTGTGGTATTTTGCAACTAACCAATAGAAACTGAAATGTAAAAACCATTTTGCTTTAACTTTTACCGTTCTTGAAATATTCAATTTGTTAACTTTCACTCATTGTCATAAATCGCAGAGTAGCCGAATGAAGGTACCTGCAAAGTTAGTTTCAATCTATCTCTTCTGGTTCTTGAGATATTCGCGATTTGCGAAAAAAACTATGTATCGTTAAATGTAGGATATTAAAATAAATTAAATGTTTATATTTGTTATTCATAAACTTTATTGTAAGATCCTGCGTTTTTGGGAACTTTCCAATTACCGAATTAACATATAGTAGTATATCTATTTTATATTTGGTATGTTTTATTTTTTATTTCACAAATTTAATAACGAGAGAGTACGCTCTATAACATTTTTTAATTTTTTTTATATTTGTATAATATATATATTTAAATTATTGTATTATATAGTATTGTTACGCGGGGGTCACCGCGTATGTGTCGCGGGAGCGGCGTGAACGGCGCGCGATCGGCGCGACTGTCGGTTACCGGGCAACGACGGGTTGTTGAAAAAGAAGAGAAGAAAGAGAGAAGAATTGCGACCGCGGAACTGTCACGACGGGTTTGAACATCTGGTTCTGTATTCTATACTTATCGTTGTATTTCGAATTGTAATAAAGTTCTTTAACGAGACACCGCGTCCTTTCTTGGCCGCGGGTGTAAGTGCGAATCGCGGAGACCGGCGACAGAGCTAAACCGCCACTGCGGACGTAACAATTTGGGGGCTCGTCCGGGATCGAGCTTGAAAGATCAGCGGCATGGCTCTGGTGCATTCGCCGCGGAGAACGCGCAGTCAGGTTGCGGCGGGAGCGGCAGAGACGTCGGCGGCGCCGGAAGCGGCGACAGCAATGTCCGAGAGCGAGACACTGCGTGCGGTCCTGCGGAAGTTAGAGCAGCTGCGGGAGGAGCGTCGACAAGAAAAGGATTCGTTCCGGCAGAAGGAGCGGACATTTGGTGATTACGTGCGCCGAAAGGAGGAGGATATCCGTCGCTTGGAGGAGCAGTTTCGCCGCGGTGTATCAGGCGAGTCACTTCCAAATCATTCTCCTGTACGGGCGGGGGAATTGACGGGAATAAAAATTAAGCCGGACGTGTTTGACAGGAGTATTCCGTGGCGCGAGTTTTTCGCGCAGTTCGAGTTAGTCGCGCGTGCGAACGTGTGGAGCGATGCGGCAAAAGCGACGGTTTTGGCAACTAATCTAAAAGCCAAGGCGCGCTCAGTTTTAAAAGGGCTGGAAGAGGAGTTCAGCTTCAAGGATATTCGCTCTAAGTTAAAATCGCGGTTCGGGGAGCGAGAACTTTTTCACAGTTGTTACGCACAATTTACTAATCGTAAACAGAGGGGCGGAGAGGATTTTGCGACGCTTGGTGCGGATATAGAGCGTCTGGCGCGTCTCGCGTATTCAGAGGGTACGCATGAAATTCGCGAGAGAGTCGCTTGTGCACAATTTATTGCCGCCTTTTCGGATAGATATGTAAAGCGTGCGTTGCAAATAGAGAACGTAACTTCGTTGAGAGCTG